ACTTATGAAATACAATACGAAGGAGCATATTTAACAGATACACAAAAGCAGACAATTGTGAACGTGTGTGGGCGAACACGGGCGGCAGGGATGTAGACGATGAGTCAAGAGAGACGATGAAGCAAAACACCGAAACACCGGTAAATACATATCGCACACGATCTTCAAAAGTGACACAACTCAAAATTTGACATTTTTGAAATTTGGCACTAAAAAGGTACACAGCGCTTTTATTTACCTTTCAGCAAAAGCTGGAGTAAATTTTTGTTATAATTTGTTGAAAAAGCCTAAAGTAAAGTCTTTCTTGATCATATGATCAAGCATGTGCTAAGAAATAATTTTTTACATTTTCTGACGAACGGGTCATTTTGAGTTTTGTCTATTTTGAATACGCAAATACAAATGCAATAAAGTGGAGCAAAGAATAAACCCGAAGAGGAAAACTTGAAAAGAGGTAAATAGGAATAAAATCAGCTCATAAGTAGGTACATACATAAAATATTCAAGAAAGGGCAAAAATGTAAATATTTAGTGTTTGATTACAAATACATATGTATGTATATGCCTGTAATATGTAATTTTTTTGTTGAAGGCGTCGCACATTTTTTCCATATAAAAAAATTATCAAACATTATTTTATATGGAGAAAATGAGCGACACCTTCAACAAAAAAAAGTGCTAAAAATCAATGGTAAGTCCTAGCTTCCTCAAACTTGCACTTTATTATACTAAAATTGAATGGGCTAAAAAACTGCATACTCAACTTTTTTCTAGGGAGCGTAAATAAAAAGTACAATATTAGAATGAAATTTTGTAGAAGTTTCTTTAATTTTGCACAAGGTTTGGAACTCTGATTTTTGGGGTTTTTGTTGTAGAATTATCCATATTTTTATAAAAAATTATCGAAAAATAAAATATTTGAAAAATAGTTGCCCGTATTGTAAAAAATTCGCTGTACCTAAACTTTATTGACTGACTGTACATACAACTATCCGATATAGAACCAGAACTATTGAAATTGTAGCATCACTACATACCTATAACTGCCAAAATCAGTATATATAGTAATCGTTGCCTTTGTTTCGACGAGTTGGGGCGAATGGGGAGGGCTGTTAGTTAAAAGCAGTGAAAAGTTTTCTACCATGTGTCAGTTTGGATACATACATATGTATGTACTAGTGATGGGCAGTATCGATACCAAAAGTACTCAGAACTCGATTCCCAAAAGGATCGACAGCACCCGATTTTCAAAAGTATCGATACCGATTACTCCAAAGTAATCAGAAAGTAGTCAGCACTCACAAAAGAGCTCGAAAATACTCAGAACTCGAAAGTACTCAAAAACACTCTGTTTCATCAATAATCAGTATTCTGTGCCGAATATACGCTTAAAAGTACTGAGTTAAATTTACAATTACCGGTACTCAGAAATGGCTGTACTCAATTTGAAGTTTCAATAGTTTTCAAGTGTAATACTTGTACCCAGAAAAGTTAGCCATTCATATAACGTAATTTGGGATTAATATATTATTTTGAATAAAGTGCTATCAGCTAATGAGATTTCTACACCACAAGCATTGAAATGTTACCAACATGTGTACATATATTTAAAAAGTACTCAGTACTCTCAAAATTACCCGATCCTTAAAAGTATCGATACTAAAGAACTCGATCCTCAAAAGTACTCGATACTTCCCAACACTAATATGTACATACATACGTATGTATGTATGTATGTCTGGATAAGTAGGAGTTTAGCCTGAAGCCACCTCCCATGATGACTCTGCTTTTAACACACATACACACATACACATGTATATACGGTTTACCGGACTATTTGTGGAGACAAATTTTATAAAAACTTAGCCTCATCATCAAGTCTGAATAAAATCCAGTTTTTTATAAATTAATGCAATCTTGCCATTGGAAATTACAATTTGTTTAGAGCATTATTTATATGTATGTACATAAATACGTATCTGCACACAGCGCTGCAGAGAATTGTAATTGACACTGCAATTCTCATTACCACAGCAATTGGAGCGTCTACAAAAACAATTGTGCAAGACTAATTAAAAGAAAATCGACGCACGCAGAAAGACAGTATAGGTATGGAAAAGCATACATACCTAATGGAAAATAAGAAACCAGTGCAAATGCAATGTAAAGACAAACAAGTGCAACACACAAACGCCACAGTAAATTCATACATAGTAAAGCAAGAAAGCGCAAACTGTAAAAACTTAATACAAACTATTTAAAACAAAAAAAAAACAGCACTGCAGGTAAACAGAATGTAGTTGGACAACTAATTGTGACATTTCAATGTATCACGCTTAGACCAGCGGCAGATCAAGTTGTCACATCTGCTCGGTTAGAAATGCATGTACATATGTACAATCGCACACAGTCTTCAGGAATGTATTAATTTAAAAAAAAAAAAACTTTTATTTTAAATGCATGTAATTCAATAAAAACGTTCTTCTTTCATTAGAAGCCAAAGCAATATTTTGTTGCAATAAAAAAAAACGCAATACGATTAACTTGAACTCATAAATAGTTTTTTGTATTTGCTATCAAACGAGAAATTCTGAGTTGATATACTTTTAAAGGACGTGTGCTATGCGTACATACATACAGTACATGAGCGATATGCTCATTTACTAAAAGACTTATAACTCAAAAAAAAGGAATGTTTGAGCAAATGATGCAGAATAACACGTTATATCATGTTTCACATCATTGTCTACAAATTTTGTGCTAAAATCTTTTGTAGTTGCCGGGCACGTTTGAATAAAAACTAATTTTGCTTAAATTTCAGACCTTTTACTCGATTTAGTCAAATATATTTACATATTTCTACATTTTTCGAGCAAATTTAAAACTTTAAACTCGTCTCATAAAAATCTCGTTCCTCTTTCAGCCTTTTAGTAAACGAGCGGTATGTGCATAGGTACATAAATGAAATGTTTTATATCGATCGAAATATTTTTTTTTGTCTCTGCGCTGACAAACGATTGCAAATTAAACAGCTTTTAATTGGAAAGATTTTTCGTTGCTTTTTAATTGTTTAGCTATGTAGATATGTATCATGTACATTAGACCTATCCCACTTTGCAAGCAAACAAAAAAAAGTCCACTGTACATCCCCGAGTCTAAAGTATTTTTGCAAAGCAATTTGGAAACCTAGAGGTCGTAATTTTACATTTTTCGGTGACGCCTACATTCTTTGGTTTTTTTAATATGTAGTTTTAAATACTGGAATAAACAAAATACTTCCTTAGCAAAAGTTTAGTGATTTTTGGGGACTTTACTTTACTGACATTAGGGTTGTATGTTAGGATGATAAGAACTGATAGCTGGTGAGTACTAGCTTCGACTGTAAATGTCGAAGATACATCGAAAAATATAAGCAAGCGATCCCTGCGTTCGGCGAAAAACAAAAGAAAAATCGAAATTACCTTCGAATCGAAATATATTTCTTTTGCAAAAGTTTCATGATTTTTTGAGAGCTTTAGTTTACTGACATTAGGGTGATACGTTAGGGTGATAAAAACTTAGATCTGGGGGGGTACTAAAACGGGGTATTCAGGTCAATGAACTTTAGAAGATAGACAAGAACATCGATATAAAATATGTACTTTAAAATTCGACCGTTAATGCGGAAGTCACAACAAAAATTGCTTTCGAATCCAAGATACTTCCCTAGCAAAAGTTTCACAATTTTTTGCGAGCTTTAATTTACCGACATTAGGATGATACGATAGAGTGGAAGAAACTGCGATCTGGCGGGTAAGTACTAGAAGAGGGTGCTTGAAGTCAATGAGCTTTGACACAAAAAATTTTAGCCCGAGACAAGAACATCGATACATTATAGTTTAAGATCCGAATGTAACAATTTTTTTGTCATTAATACCCTTGCAAAAGTACTTAGACCCAGGGTTGTACGGCGAACTTTCTTCCAGGTACGGTCTAATTTACATACATATTTCATTGTGCTTTTTACAAAGTGTTGAAGTCTTTTGTATGAATCATATAGTAAATTGAAATGATACCGCAATGAAACCTTCTTAGTTAAATATATGTATAAACCTTTATGTACATACATACATACATAAATAAATACAAAGTTCCAGACAATTTAGATGGCAACGCCAACAAGCAACTGGCCAAACAGGCAGCCGCAAGTTGGAATAACTAACTAATCCACCACCAATGCCAAGGTGAAGAAGCCGGTTCAAAAATTGCAAACATACATATGTATGTATGTATGTATGTACATATGTATGGATATAGACAAATATACAAACATTTCTTGTGGAGCTCTTGGTAAATTGAGGCAAAAACAAAAACTATCGCACAAAATCAACAAGCCGACAACGGGATGAAAGAAAAGCAGAAGAGAATAATGCAAGTTATGTACATACATCTGTAGGTACATGAGTATGTATGTATGTACATATATAATTGCATACATGTATGAATACAAATGCAGGTACATATTTAAGGTGGTTACGAAGGGTTGCGGGGCCGGCCGTTCACAACAAAAATATATATATCAATATTTGCCTTGAAAATCTGCTAGTGGGGGGCGGAGTATCGAAATTGGACCACAGCCACAGACGTTTAAACTTAAACCCCCCAAGCTTTGAAATGTCTGGATTGGCTAGATAGTATTGCAAATTGTTCGCAAATTTTTTTAAAGCCCTACATTAAAATAAATTTTTTTTTTTATTTAATTTATAATAGCCATTTAAAAAACTTACAATTTTCAACCGAAACTGTTTGTGATGGATGTACTTCGTTGGTTTTGTTGCTGCAGAGGCTTTTTGGAACACTTTTTTAGTTCGATGTTTCAATCTTTTTTGCGCTGTATGTAATATGTACTATATCTGTATATATGTATGTATGTATATTGCACGCTCACAAGTTTTGGATCTTTTTATATTTTAAGTTATAGCTTTTACCGCACTTTTTTCAATAGCTATCGTTTTTTTTTGACGCTTATGCTTCAAAAACTAATGTACACTGAGTGAAATAACTCAAACCATGAAAAATTTAAATTATTCCTTTCTTCTGTTCCACCGTTTTCACGCGTTTTGCTCTCTTCCCTAGTTGGTTTGAACGCAGTTGCGCATAATGTACTACGCTGTGCTAAAGAATTTCAGGACAAAAGCGTTAAAAATTTGTTGCCTTTTTTTTACACCACGCACCGAATAATATGAAAAATTAATGTTAAAATGAGCCAAATCCCGTAATCGATACAATTTTTATGTTTTGAAGTTCAAAAAAAAAAAAAAATTTTGTATGTAGTTAATTTTTTGCTTTTCAAAATCACAAATCAAGTTCCTGCAAGGTATCCTTCAAGAAAAAAAACAACTATTACTGAGCGCTATAGAAGTAAAAAGGGCGGTTTCGTTATTCCTGGCAGCGGCGAATATTACAGCATCAGCGCATTCATCTGTGCGTAGACCAAAAAAAAAAAAAGAAGAGTTCTACCCCCACACTCCCTATTTAACGCACTTTCTTATTTACAAGCCACACAAAGGATACACGGAGCGCACTTGACAATTTCCTGTGGTTTTAAATACACCAACAATTATTTAAAATAAAACTACAACTCCTCATACCTATGAGTTGATTATTTGCTAATTTTTATTATATTGAAAACTGAATTTGGCTCAATTTATTTACAAGCAAAAAACTGGGTAAAATTAAGTTAACATTACATTGATTTATTTCTTTAACTCAGGTTTGCTGGCAGCCGCCTTATTTATAAAACCGCACAAGTATTCTCAACACAACCGTTCACAACGCGTTGCTAGCTCGAATAAAGTGTTCGTTCGTCGCCGGCTCAAAGGAAAGCCATTGGAGTGCAACAGTGCTGCCATTCACGAAACTTTCTAGTGTTTGTCTACACTGGTCACCAACATGTATGATGTTCGCTGCAGGCAAAGGCTGCCAATCAGCGTTGCCGTTTTGATCCAAGTGGAACAAAAGTGATACATTTTCCGATGAATGTTAGAGGGACACTTCTTTTTAAATTTTGATACTTTTCTAATCGTGTAAAAAATCTCACAGTACTCGAAAACCTTACCAGAGTTGTTTACAATTTCTTCGCTCATAGGGCTAAAAGGGTGTATGAATTTGCCGAGTTTCAAAACTACCGTTTACCAACATTTTAAAATCATATAAAATTGAAAATAAAAAAAAATAAATTGTTCACAATTGTTATTGTTTGAGATTGAAAATGAGAATGTATGTGGAAGTTTGAGTTTTGAATTTTAAAATTATATCGTTGGCAAACAATGGTTTTACCGTGTTATGTTTTTATCATGCATATAACGGTGTCTTTTGTTTTTGTAAAGAAAGTAGTTTAAAGTTCCATAACTGCTTTTTTTTTTTTTTTTTTTTGGAGATAACCAAAATACTGACAAAATTGTTAATACATTTTTTTTCTCTTAAAAATTTAATTTTTAAAACGTTAGGCGCATTTGACCGTGTTAAGAATATCAAAAACAAGTAAAATAAAGAGTTTTGAGTTTAACTCATCAATTTGATGCTGCGATTTCTAAGAAATGAAACCATATGAATAGAATTTCAATAATGTTCTCGAAATTTACTAAGGGACTTTGCATTCTCTGAAGCTTTCAAGGCTGCCTGACTATCGGAGTAGATCACACTTTCTCATTAATGAACAAAAGTAAAAATTTGCTAATGTGTGTGTAACTTAGGAGAGTTTAAGCATTCGTCTTTTTCGAGACATTTTCGACCACATGTCGACATACATATATAGGGTGTGATTTTGCCCATAACTTGACGAATGATGATTTTCAAAGTGTGAAATTTATTCTCATAAATACGGTCACTCGAGTAACCTCATAAAAAAGTCCAAATCGACGAGTGGCCTCGGTGGACAAATGAAATCGCCTCAATGCGTGTCCGCGTCACACAATGCGTGCTAATAAGCTAAAACCGTTCACAGTTCACCTTTTCTTTTGCACAATTTGCTAATTAAATAAATAAATTTTTATTAAGCTGAATATATAATTAAAGTGATTTACACAAAAATTTACTTTGCATTCTATCAACCAGCTGACTTGGCACTTCCACATAGCTGTGTAGACCATAAATTGGTAATGCCTGTTTTTCGTTCCACTCATTATTTTCAAAATTATATTCTTCCACCGTATACACATCATGACCGCCGAGCGCCCATATCCGTTTGCCGACAGTGATGGCGCAGATGCCGAAGCGGGCTACTCTTAACGGTGCGACCTGCGAGCAGGTGAGGATTTGAAAAATTAAAAACAAGCATAAGAATGTCATTTATGTACATATGTACCGTACCTCGAGCCATATATTCTGTTTTGGGTCGTAGCGCTCCACTGTATTTAACATGCCCTCATTGTAGCCACCAATCAGAAATATGAATTCATTTAATATGGTAATCTGCAATTTAGCATAAACACATAAGTCCATTTTTATAAACCGTTTTTTTTTTTTCATTTTTTACTTACGCCAGGCCAACCGCGCGCCCCATTCATATTGCTGCATGTCGTCCAACTGCTGGTTTTTGGATCATAACATTCAACTGTACTCAAGGGCTGACAGTCAATGCCCAATCCACCGAATATGTAGATTTTTTCTTTGTATGCGATAACGCTGGCACCATATCTGTGAGCTGACATTGCCGGCAGTACTTGCCAATGATTAGTGCATATATCAAACCTAAAAAAAAAAAATACTGTTAATAATGCTTACAATAATTCTGCATCATTTGTTCAAAAATTTCGTTTTTTGAGTTGTGACAGTCTCTGAGCGATATGTATGTACATACATCACAACTGTATTGAAAGGATCGCCACCATCATGCCCACCAAAAGCGTAAATCTTTTCATTTAGCATCACAACACACAGATCATCACGACGCTTGGACATGCTTGCCATTTCCACCCACGTAAATGTTTCCATATTAAATCGTTTAACAGTATTGTTTCTTTGGACACCTCGCCCGCGGCCACCAATAAAGAACAGACTACTCTCGTAGTAAACCAATCCATAGCTGTAGTCTCTGAATTTAAGTTCGAAGCATTTTTGCCATTTCTTCAGCGCTGAATTATAGCGAAGGATGTATTTTAATTTCTATAAAATGTAAATTAATTAGACAGCAGATAAGACATATAAAATCTATGGTAAACATACATATACACATGTACGAGCATTAGAAATTTAATATGCTCAGGACCACTTAAACACTGGTTAAATTGACAAATTGGTTTGCAACGCCGAGGGTTAGATTTTAGCCTACTAGGTAACTACTCGACAATTTTTGAAGGCTAACTTCTTAACTCTGCTTAAAGCGCAGTTAGTCAACGACGTAGCGTAAACGTAGGTTGACGTACGTAGCAGCATATCAAATTTACTGTTGATAGAGAGAGAGAGAAACAACGGCAACGTCACCGCCATGCGGTGGTGAGTTTTCGTTAACACGCGATTCACATAAAGTAGATCGTTTCTGCGTCAACCTACGTCTACGTTACGTCGTTGACTGTTTGAGCTTTTATGGTCCATTCTACAGGAATTAAAAATTGTTGTAACGTGCCAGTGCATTTTTTAAAACCAAAATAAGTCCGGTTTGGAATCCTGCTAATATGCACTCAAATTATAAATGTGAAGCTTTGCGAGTAGATATGTTGTTTGGCACACAGATAGGCTATAACCTTGATTAACATATAGGATATTATTTGAAGGGAGCTGCCACCTTTTTCAAAAGTTATAATCAATTAATGGCTCAACAACGATTTATTTCGAAAATAATTTTGATGGTTGCTACCTGTTGAAAAATGTAAAAAACAGGTTAATTAGCAAGTTAAATCAAAATATTTAAGAAAGCTTATTTAAAAAAAACATTTGACGAGGGTTGCCATCTGTTTTATACAGTCAGCGTTAAAAATATGAAAACCCTGACGTTTTGACAATTGTATTTATTTCATATATGTAATACGTCTATATTGGTAGTAAGCTAACATCTCAATGTGTAAGCATTCCGAAATCAAAGCGAGACAGTCCCCTGCAAAAAATTGTGCGACTAATTTCTAAAGAGAGTATTCCGAGATTACTCTCAATCGGGTACAATTGGGCATTAATTAGTCCCAACTAGTCTCATACGGGTACTAATGGAGGTCAATTAGTCTCGACTCATCCCTTATGGGTATAATTGGAGATCAATTAGTCCCCAACTCATCTCTAACGGGTACTATGAACGATTTAATGATATGTATGCACTTAGTCAATGAAATTTCATGTGCGACGTTGGCACACAGAGAAAGTATTCGCCTAACAAAACTGAGCACCCCGGTTCGAATCACAGCTGGCGCAAATTTTAATTTTTATTTTTTAAAAGTGACTAGTCGCTTTTTATACCCGTTCGGGTATAAAGGTGAACAATTAGTCTCTTCATAGGACATGCTCGAACAAAAGCGATCAGTTCATTCCATATAAAGAGATCAAAAGTGGTATTAGTCGCATGCCCATTTGCGATCGCTCCCGGAGTCATCCCGGATTAGTCCCATTTTTTGCAGGGTCTAGTTCCGTTTTTGTCAATGTATTGTGTACTTGAGTGCCGTTTTTGTAAATGTGTCGTGTACATGTTTATTTATAAACGTATGTGTTTCTTTTCTTTCGTACGTGTTTATTGATATATCTGTACTGTAGTGTTTTCGGACGGTACTAGCTCTTACTGCCAATATAGGAGTATTACATATATGATTTATTTATACTTTCCATACCAAAATATTATTATTATTTCTTTTTTTTTAATATAGCTCATTCAACTGCAAAAACCAGCAGAATCAATATTTTTAATTTCATATAGACTTAGGAGAATTCAAGAAATACCAAAAAATTTGCATCAAAAGAAAAATACTTTTTCGTCAAGAATGTTGCGCATTTTCTTCCATAAACAAAACCTCTTTTTATATGGAAGAAATCAAAAATCAACAGTAATTTTTAGAGACTTGAAACTTGCACCTTATTATGTTAAAATTTTATGTACTACAAATCTGAACACTCGAAATACTCTAAGAAATCGAATTGAAAAGTTGAAAATTTTGATGGAAATTTGTTGATATTTATTGAATTTTCCCGAGATCTATATAACATAAAAAAATATATATTCGGCTGATTTTTGCTGTTGACAGAACTATATATTTATAAAAAATAAGAAAAATTTGGTCTGAAAAATATAAATAAATAAAATTTTCAATACGGCAATGTATTCATATTTTTGACGTTGACTGTAATTCGAAGTTAATTTAATAAACAAGTTAATGAAGTATTTTAACACGGGTTACTCAACTCTGCATGGGTATTCAATGTTGGAGGACTGAACTATGTATTTAACTCAAGATGTTCTGCAAGTTAGCCTTGCTTAGGTATAATTTTTTTTTTAATTCTTCAACTTACTTTTACATCGTTTAAAATCAACAATCCGCAATATTTCCGTTCATTTTCCGCTTTTGTATAGCCCCCGGTATCCATTGATGTTGTGATCAATTTTAATGCCTTTTCTGCTAACTGTGCACAACCCGGTAGAGGTTTCATAATTTTGTCTATAAATATGCCATCGAAATGCTCCAGCCTCAAGGAGCTCATTAGTAACGAAAGGTTTGTAGCACGTGTATTCTTATCATGTTCGTACCATCTAATGATAGCCTGAAAGACATCCACTTCACAGTCAATGTGGAGGTTATCAGCGCTTAAAATCTGATTAAGAAGTTCTGGCGAAAAGTCAAGAAACTCTGGACTGACGATGACCTTTAGTGTATAGAAAATAAAAGTA